CAAGCTGCAAGACATGGGAAGATGTGGGGACAAAAGATCATTAAGACGTTTTACAATTCTATAAGTTGGTGAAATGATCTGTGAAATTATTGGACGAAAGGGGTGGCCGTTTTATGTGAGTTTTTACTGACCAATAAGCATAACCAGACGCAAACTCACCCGTCATCTTGGAAAAGTGTATGCCATCAACAGCGGCATTGGCACCAGTGATTAGTTTGTTAAGTTTGGTATTGAGATTGTCTGTTGGATCTTTTGTGATGCGCCGGCATTTCTTATCGCCGTTCAAGATACAGTTTAGTTTCTCATGATATTGTTTTTTTGTAAAATATTGCGTACAGTGATGACTTGTCCGCTCGCCGAATGGTGATGTCTTTTTCTTGAAGTTCCTCTGCCGCCATTCCGAGTCCATGTGTGAATATCTTGCTCCTATCATTTCCACGCTTTTTCGTGCTCTCTCCCAGCAAACTGTTCTTTATATCCTTCTCTATGGTAACTTTGTCCTCTTTTTCCAAATTCGAGATATCCTGGTAAAAAATTAAAGTTCTACTTTCTTCTTAAGTTTATCATATTTCAACAACACATAACAATTAAGTCCAAGATCAAGCAACTCTTTTTGTTCCTCAGTAAGATCATGGTGAGATAAATTGATGTAACCATCGGTAGTTTCCGGTAATACTATATGACCACCATAGAGCCTTGGGAGCTTTTTCACGATTCTGTTTCTAGTAAGACATCTAGCATCACATTCAATCACGTCGAGTTCGTCAAGTACTTTTTGTTTTAGTTCATGTTTAGGGCAACATCTCTGTAGCTCTTCTTCTAAACTTTTTTTGGGTTGGCATGGGTTTAATGTAGGGCATATCTGCTGTAGGGCAATCTGCCACATGGGTGTACCATAGGGCATATACAAGCATATATATATATATATATATATATATATATATATATATATATATATAAGTACATATATATGCATGTATGTATATACTTATTCATTCATTTCATAAATATCCAAACCCATCTTACTGTGTGGATGTGCCTTAAAGCAAGTACCTTATAAAGCTAGGCGTGCTACGCATGCACCCACATATAACTCACTCATTTTCTACAGGTCATGTTAAATGCCGTGATTTTGAGACTCAGTGTTTCAGAACAACAGACAGCTACTTTTTCAGAATAACTTGAGTTGGCTGCGAACAACCTTTAAAACCAAGCAAAACCAAGCATGGACTTCATTCCTCGCTTATGTTTTTACCACTAGCCAGCTAGGGGATGTAATCAGTTGATGGCTGCCCAGCCAGCATTCACAAAGGGACCCACATGGGTTTAATGTAGCACAACTGGGTTAATGTGGGCGTGGGCTGCAGGTGGACTTTTAACTGGGCTCCAGCTGGGCCCCACATGGGGCACCTACATCATTTCGTATTTGTGCATGCATGGGAGCTGTCTGTCTTGTACTGTTTGTCAGAATTTATCATGTCAAGAAGAAATCACTCACCAGGAGGGAATACCTGCATTGGTGGGATGCATGTACGCCACATGGGCAAATGTCAATGTAGGCTGCTGGTGGGCTGGCTTAATCTGGGGCCAAGATGAGCTGCCTGTATGTTACATGCACAATAAAGTTGCCACATGTACAACACTGATGTGTACACCAATTGTTTCATTGTCTAAGGTTTACCATATTGTGTACAATTATTCCAACACATGGGACTGCTCCTTGGACTGGGGTCCATATGGGGCTGAGCAAGTGCTAGCTGGGCTCATGTTCATGTAGGTTGTAGGTGGGCTGGTTTGTGAGCTACATCTGGTACCCAGATGAGTTACCAGTATGCTACTATATTTGGTGCAGGTGCATTAGGCTTGTTACCTTGTGCTCCTGCATTGAATTTTTCCTTATGGTATGCAAATGAGTATATAACAAAGAAGAACAGAACAGGTTGGGGCTCAAATGGGATGTATGCGGGTAAGTCAGGCTCATGTCAACATGGACCGCAAATGGGCTGGTCTGTTGTATGGGCACCAACACTTGAGCAAGAATCTTAACAGCAAAGGCTTATTTGACAGTCACTGGAGCAGCAAGTGGCTGGACCAGTATCTGAAATTCAGTTTTGGCTCTTGGGGGAGAGAACAAAAATATTACAACTACAGCTTGTAGTGAGAATAAAATAACCCCAGTAAATTTGCACTGCATTCACAGCTTGCACTTAAGGACATTCTTTGGTAGCAGATGACTGTAAACACCATGCTCTAGTGGGTCTCAGTGATTGCCAAAGACCATTAGAAATTGGCTGGTTGCAATTCTTAAATTTTCTAGCTTCGTAACTAAGTGCTTCCTTCCCAAGTCCATGCTTGCACCTAATGTATTTTTAAGCTATGGAGGGTCATGGTATACATTGCTACCTCATGTTAAAAAAGAGCATTGTACATCAGTTGTTGTTTTTAATGCAGAACATATCGTACCTAATTGCAAAAACGAGTCATCTAAACACTTACCTTGGAACTTAAATAACTACGATAGCGAACATCCGAACACCGCAAACACGCAGCAATCGCGCCGCCTATTAAGCTGGATAGAATGCCTGGATAGAAATAGAATTTAGCCCTTCCCCAACTTTGAGAAAAAAGAACATAGTTTGCACCATTTCTTCGGGATAAAAAATTCATCTGCTCACCCACTCTACCAATTTATGTACACAACTACACCACGAGCGACGTCTGGCTGCTGCGTGACCGGGGGTCGGAGGCCAACGCAGCAGGGGCGGAGGAATTATTTCCCCCTAACAGAGCAATCCAGCGGCCTAAAGTTAGCATCACTACATCTACTCACCGGCGTTGAGTCTGATACAAAACTTTTCTCGACGTATGACACCGAGCTAAATTAATATTACGCCTTTATCTACACCACCGACCATTCCCGCCATCACCGCCCCTCGCGCGGCTCACCCAAAACAAGGTCAGTAAGCTATATAAATAGCGCACACGCAATAGCAGTGTTCAACGACAGGGACGCTGTATGTTAGTTATCTTTCAGTATTCCTTTTTAGGACCTTTTTATTTTGTTCATGCTATTGGTTGGCAAAACCCGGCTAGAACAAAAGGTAGATATCTAAAGACGTAAATAATCATATAAATACACAAGTAAAAGTTATTCTCGGCGGAAAAGAGGAAACCCCGCTTAAGCCTTATCCTTAGATCATGATTCTGTAGCGACGCTCTGTGGACCGATAGAAAAATGTCATGCTTTTGTTTAATGACCCTTTAATGCATTTTCATCACGTATTGAGCTCGGATTTCTAAGCGGAGAATATGTCTTCTCTCCAATGCTAAATCCTCCCCAAGGGCCGGAGACTCGAGGAGCCCTGGCTTTTCGCGTGCCCAAGCGAGTGATTGGGATGGTGTTTGACGTCACCAGTATACGTTCTATGCAATACCGATTTTTGATAGTTTCAAATACAACGTTAATAAAAGTGATGGTTAAAAAAGAATAAAGAAGTTCATTCATCAATATATGATTAATTCATGCTATATTTAAGGGGTACATATACCTTCGTATCAGTTTTTTCTTTTGTTACAATGATTTCTACGTACAACCCAGAAACGTTGAATCGTGCCGCGTACGAGATATTATCTACGCTTCTCCCAGGTCCGCCGAGAGGCGCTGTGGCTTTGGGTGCTGGCACGGGCCTGGTGTATGGGCGCGTCCGTGTCGTTATTGGACGGTAGGTGGGTTAAACATGTGCTGGTGAGCAGCAGCAGAACCGGGCACTGGATGCATGGCAAGGATAGATTATGTGTGATATGGTAGAGAGATTCGGCTGTAACCCGCAAGCAGTACCCGTCGTTCAGCCGTGAGTCTGGCGCGTCATGCTGTTGAAGTTGCAGAAACAGCTTGCCTCCATCGCTCACAGAGAACAATTTTTTAAATTCTTTAGGTGTATGTTTGTGGAGAACAAAATGTTTTTGGGCTGAAAACACCACGAAACACCCAGGTTTCAGACACTGGGCTGGACTGTCCTACGCGCGTGTCGTTGCGTGAGAGAGAACGGATGTTGGCGGAGCTTGTCCGGTGCCGCTAACGAAAGGCGCGTAAGACATCATAAAATAATTCGCCAAATGAAAGGTTTTTACTAGGTGGAACTTTTTCTGTCGGCGTGAAAAAATAATATAAACAGTAGGAAATGATTGTAGGTACAGCTGGCGGAGCTGACGTGACAAGTTCCAGTGAAATCTGATACTGCATAGGGCACGGTGGCATCTAGCGAATTGGGCGGCAGACGCATTTTCAGTGGCGCCGCCTACAACTTTCATGACGCCACCCGCGGCGGCCGTGCCGTCTACGGAGGTGCTGGCGCCTACAGGTGACGCCGTCTACAGGTCTTTTGAGCTCCATGTTGAACCCAGATTGGTTGCCCATATGTTACATACGCAATAAAGCTGCCATATACACAATTACGTGTACATCAATTATATTTATTGCTTTGAGGTTTTGCCATATCGTGAACAATTATTTTACGTGTGCCATCCCCATTCTCACGTCCATGCAGGTTGCGGGCGAGCTGATATTTGGGCTGCATCTGGGACCCAGATGGGCAGCCCATATGCTACCATATTTGATGCAGGTGCGTTAGGTCTGCTCCCTTGTGCTCCTACGTTGGACTTTTCCTTATCGTGTACAAATGAGTGCATAACAAAGGAGAGCAGCACGAGTTTGGGTTCAAATGGGATACATGTGGGTGAGTCGGACTCATGTCAACATGTGCTGCAGGTGGGCTGGTCTTCGGGCTCCATGTCGGACCCAGGTGGGCTGCCCATATGCTGACATCTTTTACACCAGTACATTAGTTTTCGGACTTTCCTCTCCATGGTTGGATATTTTCTGATCGTGTACAAGCTAGTTTGCAACAAAGGTGGGCGACATCGACTGAGATTCAGACGGGCCGCAGGTGGCAAGCTGGCCACATGCCAGCATGGGATGCAAGTGGGCTGGTGCCCGGTCCCTGTCTGGGACCCAGATTGGCTGTCCATATGCTGTGATATTGACTATGTGCGTAACATTTTTCGTATCGTGGGTTTCCTGGTTCCATTTTACCATTCCAGGTACCAACAAGAGGGATTGCTGGCATGAATTCCATCCGCATGGACTGCGCGTGGGCGAACCTAGCTCAGGCCAACATTGACCGATTCACTGGCATGCCACTTGAGGCAGTTGGCGTGTTCTGTGTCGGATGTTTGTGTGCTAAGGGCATGGAGTGAGCCCTCTATTAGCGTTTCACCGGTTGATGGACCGCTACTCACGTTTGGAGCCCCCCCCCCCCCTCGATAATTACGCGTGTCCTGCTGACCGGTCGCCCGCTGGGGTCTCGGCCGTGGCGAGTAGGGTTTGGCATGACCGGCCCGCTGACCGGCACCACCGCAACCCCTTCAGGGGCGCGATTGTGCCGCTCAGCGGGCCGACTGGCTAGACGGGCCGGCTGGCCAGGTGGGCCGGCAGCACCGAGCACACCTCTAACCCACTGTCTTCTAAAACCTTGGTCGGAGTTTCTGATGGTTGCACGCAACTGATCAGATGCAGTTTCTTTGAGCTGCTTGGTGCTCAACGAACATAAGCCCAGAGGGTCATGCTTGGACTTATCGACAGCTTTAGTGTCAGAAATCCGGCGTGGGCGACTCCACGCAATTATTTCAATATTTGGAAGCTAATATTTCAGTTACCAACCGTCTGTGAAGACTTCCAGCATGTGGAGAGCTGTCCGTCCATGGCATTGGTTGGATGGTGCGATTGGCTGGTCAGCTGTTGACAGCATTCGAATGGGCACTGTGTCTCCTCAATGTAATAAGCCTGGAACCAGTGCTCCCAGCTGACAAAGGGTGCCTGATCATTTCGTTCCTTGCGATTTAGCTCAGCCACCAATTTTTATGAGCCCACTGATATATTTTTATGCAACTGTATTTGTAAGTCAGGAGGGTATTCGGATGCCTCATCGTATTGCGTCGTTTCACTTATCCCACTAGGACAGATCAAATGTCATACCATTTTATATATATGTAAAATGTGTATATATATATAAACATATATGCATAAATATATGGGATGTGTTTTGAACATACGTTTATCATGCATGGCTCTGTTGACACAACAGTGTTGGCCGCCGTGCGCCATCGGCGGATCCGTCGGTTGCCGCCCGCTGCGCGCGCCGGCCGTGAGTCGCCATACAGTATTCTGACAAAATTTTGCTTTTCAGAAATCAGGCTGATAGAGAAATGTTTCTGGCGTCAAAACGCTTCAAATGAACAGCCACATGATGGCGAAACATTCGGCGTGATTGCACGTTCCAGAGAGATATCCTCAGAAACTTTGGGAAGGGGTAAGGGTGCATCGCCCTCCCCCTTAGCAGGGAAAGAATTAAAGCATATAACTGTGAATTCATATATGTGCGATTCTACGTACGACATGGACGTGTCGAAAAGCATCTATGGATATTCCTATGTGGCATGATTCAAGGAAAAGAAAAAGGGATGATAAGCCATGGCTTGAAGTGTTTGCCACTTCAAAGCTGTATATCGTTCTGAAAGAGCGCTGGTGAATTGTAGGTTTAGAGCCAAACGTTCAACATTATCTTGCAGCTAGAAACCATTCGTCAGGAAAGGGTGCCCGGCAGATGACGCTACGATCACAACATTTAAAAAACGATCCGCTAAGTCAAAGAGTAAAAGTATACACCATCGGTTGCCACCGCCAAACGGTTGCCTTCATTTCATTTATCGTATGCTTTTAATTCGTCGCATTCACGTGCAATCCAGACACACCAGGAATGAACAATGCTGTATTTTTCGTGTACCATTTGGCAGGAGGACTGTCAGAAACCTCCTCACAAAAGCCCTTATGTGTGGGAGGGGGAGGGGGAGGGGGATGGGCGCCGCCTAAGATCGGTGATAATCGTTTTTCTGAAGCCTGTACTGTTTTACACGTGGTTATGTACAATCCTTCTTCGCGTGGCTTTTATTAACGTGTGTGTTACGTTATTTATGCTATGAACATTTGTTGAATATTATACACCTTCAAAATTCGGAATTTGTCCAGCGCAGCTCTGAGGAACATTGTACATGCATAAGACAGTGCCGATAGCCTATTCCTCCTCAATATTCAGGGGAAAGGAAGAACGATGCATGTAAATTTCGTAGTGTGTTCATTATCAATAAAGGGCGCACTAAACCTGAAATCCAGAAAGGTGCAGGCCGTATAACCTTTTTAGAACTCAGTCAGGTATAGACCACAAGAATGCACTGAGCCTGAAATCCAGAACGGTACAGACCGTATAACCTTTTCAGAACTCAGTCGTGGATAGAGCACCGGATCATCCAGGAAGGAAAATTAGTGAGCCCATTCTTAAAAAGTCGGCGACCAGACCTAAACGTACAGGGCTCATCATCGCCGATTATGCGAATCTGGTAAGTACCTTAATGTGTGATGTGTGCTAGCCTGAAATTGTTGTTATACTATTACAACAATTTTATATGAGTGATGCATGGTACGTGGCGCATGATGTTCGCATTTTGATGAAACAAACTATGTTCCTGAGGAGCTCAGATGTAGGAATTTTTGCGTACAAACACATTACCATCATTACAACTTTACGTGAAAAGGTGTGGATACTTACAACGACTTTTTTCCGCTGAAGGGATTGGCCACAAAACAATTCATACGATCCTTCCCATGAACTTTTTCGCTCAGAATATGTTCGCTACGATAGTTTCTCGG